GTTATTTTTTGCTCTTATTCAAGCATGTAATTGTTTCAATTTTGATTTCTTAATTGGTTCTAATTATTTTGATTCCTTTATTTGGTTTCTTAAGTGACCAATTAATTATATATGCAAAACCTTCAAAAATTTATGTTTTTTGCAAGGCTATACACAAACAAGGCCCAAATATCCTTCTTACCAAGTTGACATGTATATAAAGCTCTATTAGAAGTATAAAGTTATTTTTGTTTATGTTTTACTATCATTTCTTTTGAAGTAAAACCATTTTAATCTCAATTTAAAAAATAAAAAAATTCATGTGATAATGTCTAAATATTAAGAATTTATAATGCCAAGATTAGAAATGAAGGATGGAAATTAAACAAAGAAGCATATAGAAGATGTGTCAAATCTTAAAGACTATAGATAGTATAACATTGCTTTCTTCTACTTTTATGTCAAAACTTTTTTCATTCTTTCTTTTAAACCATCAATGCTAGATTTCCAGTCAAATTTAAGTAAAAAATTATTAAATTTTTAATCTTCTTAAATCAAATTTTTTAACATATTTATTTTTGGTTTCTATGTACTTATAATAGTAAGATTGCTAAATTCTACTTACGAAGTTGATGCATTTGTATTTCCTTCTTTTAATTGTACAAATTTTTGATGCAAAGTTCATACTTTATTGATAACTTCTTTTACATTCAAAGTAAAAATACTTTCACAGACAAGATTGCTAATATGTCAAATTTTTATTCAAGTATCATTTAAAAGATCTTAAAGTTTTGTAATAGTTACAATTTTAAAACTTTATGATATAGTAATATCTTACAAGAAGTGGAATAATTTATTTATTTCTTTAAAATATTTTTAAATTTTATTTTATTAAATTAAAAAAGATACTAATTTAGGAAAAATCTTAAAAATACAACATATCCATCTATTGCTAAAATAAAAAATATATAATAATAATAATAATAGAAAAAGTACTACATTAGCTATTTTTAATACAAAGAATCAAAAGAATTTTGAACCAAGACTAGAATACAAGAAAGATATTGATGAGAGTAACAATGGTCTCATTCTTACTTCTATACATACTAATTGTTAAAAAGGCCATGTAAAAATTTCCTAAAACCACAAGGCTTGCAGTCTACTCATTGAGTTGTAAATTGCATCCAATGTTTTTCAAACGTAAAAATATATTAGACAAGTTTCAATAGCCACATGGTATATTTATAAGAATCTAAAGATCTAATCTTTATCCAAAAAACTTCTTCAAAACATAGAAAAATATCATCTATTTAAAATATATCAATTTACTTTTACTTGCTTTAATTTATTTTAGTAATATAAGCATCCATTAAAATATAGGTACTTGCATTAAATTGCAAATTTTAATTCTTTTTATTTTTAGTTCTTTCTTTCTTTCTTTCTTTTCTTGGAAACTTAACAAAATCTTTAAATACTTTCTAATTTTTTATTTTTTATTTATCTTCCTTTTTACTTTTAAAAACAATTCTTATTTATTTAATAATTTTTTTTATTAAGTTTCCAATAAAAAAAACTTAATTTTTTAAATTTCTCATGTTAAACTAATTATTTTTAATAATTTTTTATTGTCTCTTTAATTCTTTCTGTAATTTTGTATCTTATAAGATCTTTTAAAAATCACTCAACTTATTCTAAAAATATACTTTGTTAAAAAAAATTAAAATTTTAATATGTATTTTTGACACATACAAAAAGTAACTCCTATAGACTTCTAAATTTTTATATAATTGGTTGTACATGCCTTTTTTATCTTTGATATCATAGCTAATTCAAATAATTAAATCATCTCTTTTTTAGATACACAATTCAATTCTATCATACTCACATAAAATCTCAAATACTTTAATTCACATTTTCTATTAAATTGATCAATGCTAACCATTAAAATTTCTAAAGAAAATTGTAATAATTTTTTTTTTTTAAAACTACAAACCAGAAGTTCATCTGGTTTTAACAACATCTAAAAATAAAATAAAAAAATAAAAATCACAAATCACAAACAAATTGGTTGATTTTATGATTATATCTTTTACTATAATAAAATCATTGATTTGATGAAAGACATGAATAAATTTATTAATATTTTAAATTAACTATGACTTTTCAAAAACAATATTTTATTTTTTAAACATCAATAATGAATCTAATTTTTATTTAATAAGATAGATTGAATAAGATATTGAATATGAAACACATAATAAATAATTCAGAAATTTCAAAAATTTCTTAATTACCAAGACTCAATACTCAAAATATAATCTAAAATCACAATAATATGAAATTTGAAAATTTCAAAAGGCCTTTTTTTCTAAATCAAAAATTATGGTTCTTGCATATTAAGATTATTACTTTAAACCTTGATATGATACATGCTTGCATAACTTTTTACATTGAACATTTTTAGAAAATTAATTGTAAATATCCTTTTAATAAGTAAACATAATAACATTTTGTGATTAATATTAATAATTAAGATTCGGTATTTTACACAGAACAAAAAAATTGTTTCGACAACATAGTTTACTTTGTTTTAATCATAACTAGTGTTCCAGTTGTCAGTCATTCATATTTTCTTGAGCAACATAAATAATGTGGTTTTTTTAATGTAATTATTGAAATTAATACTCAAACCTAAATCATAACTATTTTATTTTCATATAATTAAAAATATGATGATAGGATTGTAGCAACAAACAAAATTTTACACATTGTGACTCCCTCACCAATGATATCATAAAATGGTTATTTTATCATTGTTGCTTTTCCTCCTAGTAACAGAAACATACTAATATACACCATAAATATATAAACTACTGTCCAAATTATTTATTGCATTTAATAAACATAAATTACAACTTGTCTTTACATTTGAGAAATAATAAACAACATGTAACCATCTTCACATTGCATGATACTGTGTGCATACAATGCCTTGATGCATGACAATTACAATCCTATTTGGTTGTTTTCAAAGATAATATATATTTAACACACATTATAAAAACATTTCAACAAATATGAAGTAAAAGACGAACTTGTAATTTTTTAAAGTCATGTTTGGATATTATGCATGCTGTCCATTGTAATTTTACTCCCCCCCCCCCCCAGATCTAAGAAATGCCTTGAAATTATGAATAATTACTACTACAATTGTTAATATGCAAAAGGGAACTAACTTGGAGGAATATGGGAGCGCACAAGTCATCTTCACCCACCAAAGTAGTGCCCTCAACCTCCCCCTTGGCATGGTTGTACTAAGAAGGTGCTCATAGAACCCTCTTAAAGGGGTCAGTGGGAGTCCTTCTGTAACTAATTTGCCAAGGACACCTATATCAAAGGTTGACTACACCCTTCCCCAAGTCAATCAATGCCAATGTCTAGGCCAGGGAAAAATAAATAAATAAATAAATAATCAAAATCAAAAAAGAAAAGAAAGGGAAAAATAACTCTCCAACTTCAATCCATGTATTTCTAATAGTGCATTCCAATTGAAAAAGAAAAAAGAAAAAAGAAAAAGAAGAACTAAAAACTAAAAACTAAAAAGAATCTAAGTAACTTGTTCCTGAGGGGTTTATATTTGCAAGATGTCAGGGTCACACAAAAAATTATCAAAAGTTCCCATTGCTGAAGGGAACTCTGAGGTTTGAATATTCCTGTGTTTGGAATGGTGATTACAGAGTGCACCAGAATTGACCGTGGCTTTTTGGGATGCAGTTGCCATGTGAATGATATGGAACAGTTTTATTTATATTAAATATTACATTAAATTGATCCACAAGTGGGTGCTCTTGTGGGAACATAGTTGGAAGGGGGTGTGGGCATAATGCACCTCTTTTTGCATAGTGGGTTTTCACGTTTCCGCATGTGTCAGAAAAGTAGGACCTACAAATAGTGATGTCACAAAATATTATTACCACTGCTATTAAATTTTTCAAAATATGTGTGAAGTCTTGATCATCCTGATTTTGAAGCAAAGTTCTATAACTATTGGATGCACAGTCAACACTGAGCTTGCTCTGTTTCTCACAGGGCAATCAAAAGAGTAACTCCCAATGAATTTAAAAAGTAAAAACCAAAAATCAAAGTCAGAAATCAAATCAAATAAATCATGTCCAACTACAACATATTCAACTTTCTCATGCTATTCATCCACTTGCCTAATCAACTTGGGGAAGGAGAATTTCATGTTGTCTGATTCTCTCAATCACATGAACCAATGTATTAAAACAAAACAAAGCAAAACAATGATAAAATATACCCTACAAATAATGAACAAACAGACAAACAGTATGCATCACATTTTGTCATCCAAGAAGGAACCAAACAACATTTTGAACCCTATGCTCCCACACAATGCTTTTTTGTAGAATAATCAAGAGTAGTTAAACATATGTAGATAGATAGATCGATAGATAGAAAGAAGGAAGTGTGTGAGTGGGTAGGGCTAGCAAAGGAAGGGCAAGACTGTGGCCACACCTGGTGAAGTCCCCCCACCCCGCTAATATTGTCATACCAAGCGATCCTCGTTGTTCCCACGCACTTCTGCTCCCGCTTTAACCTCCATAGGGAACGGCTCTCAGCCATGCGAACGCACAGGGAGCGTAGGAAAGGGCGGGCGAGGAGGACGAATACCCGGTCAAAAAGAGACGACCAATGGACGGCGTACACGTGAAGGTGAGCGAGGGCGTGGAATAGCTAGGGGAGCGGATCTGTTGTGTTGGGTTCAGTGAAATGCTATCATCGCCAGGGCAAAGAAAAGAAAAAGAAAAGAAAAGAAAAGATAAAGATAAATAAATATTAAAGTAAATAAATGAAGAGAGAAAGAAATGCGAAATCTTCCTCTTCTCTCTCTACCACTTGCTTTATTCTTTCCTTCCTTCCTTTCCTTTTCCTTCCATGCGTGTTGCTCTTTCTTTCTTACTGCTGCTGCTGGCTGCTGCTGGCTGCTGCTGTGAATCCTCCTCCTTCTCACATGTTTTATTGCTCTCGCTTGTAATCCCTCGTATTTCGGACCAAGGAAGAAGAGTCTTACCATCCTCTGACTCTGTTATTGCTGTTGCGGCTCCTGGTGCTTTTTCTGCCATCGTCTTCGTCTTCTTCGTGTTCGTGTTCGTGCTCTGCTTTGCTCTGCTGTGCCTCTACAGCTCTTTGACCGTCAGGCGAAGGGGCTCAATCATCAATGGAGTCACCTTCATCATCCCTCTGACACCGTCATCCCCCACTCCTTGGGTTATTGTTGTTGTTGTTGCTGTTGTTGTTGCCTTCCTCCCTCCCTCTTCCTCCCACTAGGGTTTTTGTTGTTGCTGCTTCCCCTGCACCCTTCTCCTCCTCCTCCTCCTCCTGCTGCTGCTGCTGCTGCTGTTTTTTTTTTTTTTTTTTTTTTTTTTTTTTTTCTTTTCTTTTTTTCAGATGAGTGTGAGTGTTTCAATGGGCCGTGGGAGGAGATTGTAGGAGGAGTGAGTGGAGGGGGGAGAGAGACGGGGAGTGGACGACAAGGGATGTGAAGGTAACGGATGAGCTCATGGCGGGGCGGTGGGGGAGGATCTGTTGGTGATGTGTGCGGAGCCGGGGACGTGGAGGAGCTTGCAATTAGGGTCCAGGTGAGAAAATGGTGATGGTGATGTAGTGGTGTGGTGTGTGGAGATGGTGTGTTTGAGATGAGGGTGGTGAGAGTTGGGTGATGGTGGGGATCCACGATTGTGGTGGATGGGGGCGAGGGTGTAGAGGCGGGCGTTAGAGAGCGTCGGAGATTTATGGAGTTTTCAAGCGCCTCTGAATCTCTCTGGTTCTGAGTTCCTGGGCATGCACATGGTGCGGTTTTCACTCGCGTTGGTTTACAAATGGGTATTGTGTGTAATTTGGCTGTTTATGTCCAGTGTTTGAATATGTGTCATGTTGCGTCTGCTTGAGGCTGATTCACGATGTTGGGTTTGTAGATTCAATTTTGAATCAAGTCGGTTGACCTTGGATTTCGATAGGTTGTATTCCTCGGATAGCGTACCTTTTTTCTCTGAAGTTGCTTTCGCAACGCGTCTAAGATCTACTGTAGTTTGGGTCAACGTTTGAGATTCTTGGGAGTGGTGATACGCTATTGCTCTTTTTTGACATTTCTATTCCTTTCTGTTTACCTTGGCTTCCGTTCGGTGGGTATACACGAGAGTTGGTGTTACTGGAATTGGACGCGTAATTATGCTTGCCCTCGTTGACTTAGCCAACTTCACGTCTCCTTTGGTTTTATGGATTTGATCCGAGTAAATTACTCCCCCAACATCGAATTGGGCCTGCTTTACAGTGTTTGATGTAGTTCTTTGAATTTGTGGGATGTAGCGCTTTCATCTGCAACGCACCAGTTCAGAACCGTGCTCGTGATTAGGGTTTCATCCCCTTTCTTTTTCCTCTTCGGTCGATTCTCTTGCATTTGAGAACGGTTGAGTGCATAAGAACTCTAATGTAAATCTGAAACTCTGTAATCCCCTCACTAGTACTGGACACGTCTTTTCTTTGTTTCCTTCTTTTCTTGTTTTGTGTGTGGTTATCTCACCTTGATGAGTATGTGAAATGTACAAGAGAAATTGAATGATTGTGTTCAATTTTCGGATGTTAACTAACTTTTATTTGGTCTATTTCTGGTCCCTACACTACTGAAAGAGACGATACACTTCTTGTATTCTTTGTAGTCCCAAATTGCCTCTTGAGTTTTAGTCCTATCCCAGGCGCAGCTGTGGCTAGAATCTGATTTATCTTTCATGCTGGTTGGTGGAACTCAGGGCGATTTGTACTGATTGGAACGAGGTAGCAGCAGTTTTGAGCGTGCTATCACAACAATTTTGTAATTAGTGGAAATCCGACTAGGTGGTGTGAAGATATGTCTGTGATGGCTTTGGAGGAGCCGGTGGAGCTTAAGTTCCGTTTATATGACGGCACAGATATAGGTCCCAACAAGTATCCGCCAGCAACTACAGTGGCCAACATCAAAGAGAGTATTCTCAACCATTGGCCGAAAGGTGCGTAAGCGAGAATTTCAATGCTAGGTTCCAAAAGCTCAAGGTTACTTGAGTGCTCTTTCTCCTCGACCCGGGGACTGACAGGCGAAATTGTGGGTTTGCAGAAAAACAAAATGGTCCGAAGAGTATACACGATCTGAAATTGATAAATGCTGGTAAAATTTTGGAGAATACCAAAACCCTTGCGGATTCTAGAGTGCTGTTGGGGGAAATTCCAGGATGTGTTATCACCATGCATGTTGTCTTACGGCCACCTACAAACGACAAAGCTAGTGGTACCTACTTCTATCTACTCCCTTGAAAGCGTAGGTCGTGGTTGTGATTTCTGCCTTTCTCTGATATATGCATTAGCGTACATGATTATAAGCACCAAGTTATTGCCGTTGATACTATGGTGTTGGAGGTGTGACGTCAAGTTTGTTCCTAGCTGATTTGTTTCCAGCAGGTTCTGAGTTCTAGGCTTGATGGATTTTCGTAATTGTCCACTTGAGGTGCTAAAGTAATGTTAGAACGGACTGCCCACCTCATTCGGTTCCTTTGACTTAGATTTGACTTAATTCTGTGTTTTTCGGTGTTCTCCGTACCTGCCATTGATCGCTCTAAATATAGCTAATTTTGTTTTTCTGTGTTGTGACGTGTGCTGAAACAGAGAAGCAAGCTGAAGCTCCTAAGCCCAAAACTTGCTGCTGTACAATACTCTAGCTTTCTGTCTGGAAGCGCTCTGCATGTGCAGGTAGGGGAATGTAAAGGAAGGGTCAGGTTGTAGGTGAGAGTTCAAGACGCCTGGGTGACGAGGCAGTGATATTTGCTGCCACTTTGGTGATGCTCCTACCATGCACACAGCGTCATAAAGATCCAGCAGAAGATGGTCGTGTACTGGTCATACATAGGTCGATGCGAGTGCAGCAATAATTTGTTGCGACCATGCATTCCTCGGATTGCAATATTTTTTTTGTGAGCGTTCCTTGAGCGTAGCGAAGGAACCATATGGGGAGAGGCAAAGAGCTACGGCAAGTGTGGATCATGATGTCTCTTCATATCCTGGACCACTTTAAAAGTGCACATTTAAGTGTCATGCGGGGACTGTGCAGCTGTATCAAATAATGCGATGCACATCAAGTTCATGGCCTCCCACACGTGCCTCATGGATTTCAGCACGTTGTTGCCTGGTGGAGAAGCCTTACCCAGGGTTAGTCTCCAGGAATTATGCATTTTCAAGCCCCCGCATTTGAATCGTGTTGTTTACAATTCGGAGAGGAGGCAGGCACATTATCCTGCTTTTGCATCTACTTGTACCTTATACTCCTGCATGTCAGAGTTAGTTTACCAATATGACAAGTTTCTGAAGGGCTTAAACCATCTCACAATAGAGACATATCTCATTGGCTGACCTTTTGTATTAGTCCCTTGTTCATCATCGCAAATACTTCGCAGTAAGTGCTTTGGTTTATTTGAAATGGAAGCAGAAGGTTTTTCTATTATTTTTGGTGGCCATTCAGATGCTTTTCGTATGTTTAGAGCCTCATTGTTATCAATTTTGCAGTCCATTTACAATGCTTCATTTTCTACTTCGTCTTGGAGCCATGTTTGCATATTGAGGATAATCCCTCAATTTGAATTACCTGGGCTCTTTAGGATTCTGTCGCTGTCCAACCTAGACTTGTGCTCCAAAGACCACTTGGTGTAAAAGCAGATACTTATTCTAGTGCTATTGTACAAATAATTAGATTTCAAAAAATATGTGGGCTGTGGTAGTGCATGATTGGGGAACTATAACCGACAGAAAGTTGAAAAACAAAACTCTCAACCCTACAACTTTTGATCAACAGTAGATCCATACGTAATGATAATGTTGCAATCAAAATTTGCAACTATATACAGAGTGAAATAGTAAAAGTATATTAAAACATAGAACACTATTCTTTGTTTGTCTTTTGAGTATCATGAGTGAGTGTACAAAACTTTATGAACAGTATGTGTCTAAACTGTAAAGAGGAATCTCATATGTTGAAAAATATCTTTAAGACAATGCATGAAAATAATCTCATGATGGGATGTATAATGAACTTGTTGATAGTTGATAATACTTTTTTAAATACTGCTCCAACATTTAGTTAACTTTTTAGTCATCATTGTCACATTAGTTTTGTGGATGAGGTAGGAAAGCTAGTTCTATGTCTACCTTCAAGCTTAATGTCTTTTAGAAAAAGACAAAACTAACTGATGCACATCATTTATCATTCCTTTTCAAAATTTCTTCATCAATTATCATCTTACGAAAATGATATCAAAAATAATTTCTTAATTAATGACTTTTTCTAGTAAAGATGCATATATTGTTATTTGAACATAGACCACTATTATTTTGATATTAGAATATATTATTAATGTTCACAAGGAAGATGATGAATGTTTGAATTTGCATATGTATTGTGCAATATCATAAATTCTTTAATATTTTTTTTAAACATTATTTTATTTTATTTTTTATAAACTAGTTTCAATATATCTTATTGAAGTCAAACTGTTTACTAATAAAATAAAAAAACTTATTGAAAATTTGTAGTTGGTGGGAAGTAGTGGTGCTTAATGTTAAAATAAGAATAAGATACAATTACTTTAAGTAAGTTGCTAATGGTCAAAGGATAGTAAAAGAATGAAGATAACTTATTAATGTAGCAGCTAACATTTGATGTGGCATCTAGGTTAAGAAGAATCTAAGATTGAGTTAGATGGATGAAGATGATTATAGATGAAGTTTAACTACAATAGATGTAAACTTCTCTTGTAAGTAAAGGGTGTTGGAAGAGAAAGGCATCTCATTCCACACTTCTCTTGTGTGCAACCATTCTGATTTTTATTTACTTATATTTTACTTATTGTATTTCATTAATAGTTTATGGGTCCACATACACTTTGTTGTACTATTCAAGTAAGTTGATATCATTCTCTAGTAGTTGTACTTGTATAGAATAGATCTTATGGTGTTTGCTAATGTTAAGTTTTGTAAGATCTAAACTTAAGTTTTGGCATGAAAAGGTGCTGATTTTGACCTTATATATTTCTAACATTATTTGGTGGGTTTTTAATACCTAGGATTGAGAGTTTAAGACTTTATAGAAAGAACTTGATAATGTCTTTTTGAGTTGTAGTAATTTCACTTACTTTGTGTATATTGTGAAATATTTGGTTTAAAAGAGTGGAACATCTTTATAGTAAGATTCTTCAGAGTGCACATACTTGTTAGAAGCTTGAAAACTTGATTTGAGAGTATTTTGAGTGAAAAAACAATCTACTATTCATAAGAGGATATTTTGAGATTCTTCTAATATCAAATTGATATAGTAATTTTGAACACATAGAGACTTCTTTTCTTGATATTTTTTGATAGAGCTCTTCTTAGACATGGCTTTTAATAAGAGTAAAGGTTTAAGAGTAATTGAGAAATTTAGAAGAGATAATTTCTATCATTGGAAGATCAAAATGGAGCTTTTGTTGGTGTCTTTGGATCTTTGGGACATTGTAGATAAAAGTGAAGAGCCTCCAAGCATATATGCAAATGCTAAAAAGAAGAAGGACCTCAAAAGATGTGAAGAGAAGGCTTTTGGTATAATTGTCACTAATTTGGATGAAACCAACTTTTTTCATATTATCTCTTGTAAAGGACTAATGGAAGCATCGAAGACTCTTTACAACATATATGAAAGGAAGAACTTGTCTAACATCATCTTCACAAGTAGGAAATTTTGTACTTATAAGATGGAAGAAGGTAAAGACCTTCTTTTGATGAATAAAATAGTTTTATATGAGAGACAAAAGAGAGCAAAAATAAATAAAAATAAATAAAAGAATAGAAAATCCAAACCAAATTTTATTAAGAGGAAAGAATCAAAGTCATATTTGACCAAATATTTCAAATGGCTCCAATCAATCCTATTTATACTTTGTCCAACTATATTGAAACTTTTTAAAATATTTCTAATAATAGATCCTATCAAAATAACTATCATTTTAGAAGATTCTAGATAGAGTCTATTTAGATAATTTCCCTTAATTCTTTTAGGATATTCTATAGTAGATCCCATATGAATCACTAATCTGGCCCAAATTCTAAAAACTTCTAGAAACTTTCTAAAAACAGTTCCAATTACCTATCTCTATGCATCAATAATACAATTATCCTATCCATGCTCATTTATAATTAATTCCCCTCCATCAATATAGAATGTCCTTGTTTTACTCCCGATGGTATGTCTAGATTGTTTCTTAATAATAGATGAGATTTTGTACAATTTTTTTTATTGCATCATAGATGTGATAGACTTTTCAAAGGGCTTTGTATTGAAGTTGTGGACATCCATTGCAATGACAAAGGTAGCAATGCTCCAAAATATTGTCTATTTCATAGTCTTGTTGGTCATCAATCACAACTAGTAGTGGTCGTGGTTAGTGTTGGTCTGAGAAGTGCTTTGATTTAGTATGAAATTCCTTGAGTTGCAAAACATAGAAGATTGGATGGATCCGAATATGTGGCAAAAATTGAAGGTAATATGCAACATCAAAAATCATTGCAAAAATGTAGAAATGTCTAAGACACTAAGATATTAGCTTACAGACTTGGATTGATGTAGGAAGTGAAAAGTTGGTGTTGGAAACTAAATATAATAAGGCATAGATAGGATATTTATATTATTTATACATAGATATATGTAAGTAGAGTTGTTTTTGGAAAATTTCTAGAATTGAGGTTAGGATGGTGGTTTATGTGAGACCTACCACAAAATCTTTTAGAAAGGCTTAGGGTGGTTATCATGGTGGATTCTAATTCTAGGGACATTCTAGAAAGTTCCAAAATAGTTCAAAAATGTATAAATATGACTGACTAAGGCCATTTGGGCATTTGGTTAGGTATGGCTTCAAACTCTTTTTCTTAGTAAAGTTTAGTTTTCTTGTTCTATTCTATTTGGTTGTATTTGGTTTTATTTGGTTCTATTCTCTTTTAAATAGTCCTACCTTTCAGATTCTATTTCATTTAGTTACTTTCAATTTTATTTTGGTGTCCTTGATCTTAGGTTGTATCGAGATCTTTGTTGTTATGGATTTAATAAGATTTTAGACCTTAGAGAATTAGGTATTATTTCATTGATATCAAATCAAATGTTAATTTGTTCTTTAGTAGTATATTGATAGCCATCATTTAGTTGGAAGTCAATTGTTGTGATCACATTGGGTATTATTTTTGGCCTATAAGAAGATATTTTAAGAAGTTAGATAGAAAAAAATAAGGTATTATAATAACAAAATTCAGCAAGGAAACTGCAACATGGGAGGTATAGCAGAGCAATTCTAGATGGAGACTCAGATACAATACTTCTTACACCAGATAGCTACTCTACAAGGGCAAATAAAAGCTTCTATGATAAGAGAGTTGACATCTACTAGGTTAAAATTGAGCAAGTTTGACACATACTCAGGGATCTCAAGACAAGAAGATGTATGCCAATGGCTCTTTAACATATAATACTACTTCGAATTATCTGAGATAAACACTAGCATAGGAATTATATATGCTTCTAATTATTTGAGAGGTGCAATAACCACTTGGTGGCAATATTGAGCTCAAAGCTACAGAGCTCAAGGTGGATTTGGTAACTAAGAGGAGTTTGAGACTGAGCTTAGGAATCAATTTTCACCATCAATGTATAGAAGTTAGTATGCAATTAGTTGGCCAACCTTATAAAATCTAGGTCAGTACAAGATTATATCTTTTGATTTAAGCTCCTATGTCTCCAAATTGGCAACGTGTCAAAGGCAAAAATGATGGATTGATTTGTACAAGGATTAAAATCTTTGATCCAGGAAGAAGTAGAATTAAGAGATCCACAAATATTTAAAGAGGTAGTTAGGATTGTAGAGGGAATCAATGCTATAGATTTTAGAAATCATGGATTATGACCTATAACATGGAGTCTTATGCCATTAATTAATACCGTGGCATAATAACTAATGCCGATGGAGATTGATGCTTTGCAAAGACCATTGATACTATAGAGATGATAAATATTGGTACAAAAAGGATTGTAATTTTATTTTCAAGAGTCAGATCATCAGATTAGAGATTGTTCAAAATCTCAAAGTTTAAGCATCAAAAAATCACGACGGATTTGTAATCTTAAGGACTACCAAATTGATGAAGAAATAAAGTAAGAAAATAAGGTTCTCTAATAAAGGCATCAAAGGCTAGTATTAGAGATAGTTACTGTTTCTGACAAACAAATGGCATAGCCTCAGACAAGTATAAAAAGGATTGACTAATATATTTAATGGATCAACTAAGTGGACAACCATATCAAATGCTTATGGATTGTGGTTTTAGAAAAAAATTACATCTTGACCGCAATTGCCAACCAACTTGGGATTGAAACCAAGGTGATTAAAAGAAGAAGTATATACCTAGTAGATGACCAAGAGAACATATTGA